CCTCACCAATGTTCCAAAAATGTTCATAGCTTAAGGGGCCGGGGGATTTAGCTCAGTGGTTCCGCTGCCTGCCTTGCAATTGCAAGGTCCCGAGTTTGATCCCTGATACCAAAAAAAATTGTTCATAGCTCAACATTCTGGCATCAAAAAACCACAAGGATTTAGGGTAGGGCAGAGTTGGACCCAGGGAGGAGCTTGCAGTTGTTCTCCACCTGAAATTATATGTTTGGCATTGGCTGCTTTACTTTCTGTCCCAAATCAGTGTCCTTCTAGTGGTTTGCAAAATGTTGAAACATCCCTGAACTCCAAATCACACAAACAGAATTTTATATTCTCATTCTATCTGTGAAGATTATTTAGAAGACTTTAGATTCTATTAATTTTATTTTTTAAATGCCTGCCAATTTTATTAATTAAAAAATGTCTGCTATATCCAAAATTTCTAGAGATGATGTTAGTTGTGCAGTTTCTAATTCACTCTACACATTAATTTTTCAAATGGCAAAATATCAGTGTTAGATTTAGTTCCAATTACTTGACTTACAAAAATGTACATTTCAAAAGAGAAGAGTTAAAAGAAACACTTAGAAATTTAAAGATTCAAAATGAGGATTGAAACTCCAAATTATGGTAATAATTATGAGAGTCATACATTTGAAACTCTACCACTTTTTCTTTTTTTTCCTATGCTTAGAAAGTTGAGCATTTGATTCAACCCTACTAGGGCTTCTGAACTGGCAAAGAGCCATCACCTAATGGTATCTGTGAGTCCTGGGGCATATTTTCAGTTGTCACAGTGAGCGGGGCAGCATTTAGTGCCCACTGCCAAGACCTAAGAAGAATTCCATCCCAAATACCACTAACCTGTCTCTTCCCTACTGAGAAACGTGTTACACCTGGCAGTTTTAGAGTTCCACCTCTATTTTTCTTTTCCCCAAACAAAATTACCCAAGCCAGTACAAAATCAAAATACATTCTCAGAACTATAACTACACATCTGAGTTTTGTCAGTTTATGCCTTTATTCCAAATCACCAATTGTGGAAAAATGGCTTCTTCCTCCCTTAAGAATGCTGCTGGCCACTTTATGAAATAGCCAGATTCACCTGGAAGGGGTCACTCTCCAATTACAATGATTCCACAAGGCATGAAAAGAGAAAAAACACACTGAGGTAGCTACAGTTCTGCAAAGTAGTCAGGTTAATTTAAAAGCCCCCTTTCCTAATAGTCATCTTATTAAAGTAAAATCACATTGTAATACTTTACATAGATAGCCAATGAGAAGAGAGTGGAGACACATGGCACACAATTTTTGTTGCTCTGGAAATATTGAGGGCTGTATTTTTAGCCAGTGATTTTTTAAAAATGCAGGGGAGCCAGGGATTCAGCTCAGTGGTTTCACCACCTGCCTCACAAGCACAAGGACCCGAGTTCGATCCCCAGTACCAAAAAGAAAAAAAAAAATCAATTATATCCTTGGGCCGGGGATTTAGCTCAGTGGTTCCGGCGCCTGCCTCAAAGCACAAGGACCTGAGTTCGATCTCCAGTACCAAAAAAAAAAAAAGGCAGTGGATTTGTTAGACCTTAACACCAGCTCAGGTATTTAAAGTTGATCCCCATCAAAATAAAACAAATTGGGGGGTTATGTGAGGATCTAGGAGAGATCCAGAATGACTTGCTTTAGTAAGGTCTTACTATGTATATAACTTAATTTTTCATTATAGTGGTAAGAGTTTTATGAAAGACAGCTTTAAAACTTGGTCTGAGTTAAAAATTGATATTCTTTTTGTTGTTGTTGTTACACTATACTTGTTGCAGCCTTGTGTAAAACAAGTAGAGTCTCACCATACCACATAAATGATAGAGCATAAGTTTTCTGTAATCAGGCACCTTTTGATGCATTTGAGTAAGACTGTTTTCCTGTTTAGATTTTAAGCATTGCCAGACAGACTCTGCTCTATTCTTCTGACTCTAGCATAGCCTAATAGCATTAGATGCAGCATTTCTATGATGAAAAATGAGTGTTTGTCAGGAAACGGGAATGGCCATGTTTTCTGAGACCTCGACTTCATATGCACTCTTTTGCTTTTGAGGAGCTTTCTGGCATGTGATTATTTACTTCAGAACTAGAATTTCAGGCACCTACATTAATTATTTTATATTGTGTGCAGAACAGTATATCTTTTAATGTCAGATACAATACACTGCACATATTGCTTTTGCACTCTTAAAATTTTTGTATTAAATAATAGAAAATATTTGTATTCTTTGGGTGTGAGCTTTGAATAGATGCCATTCTCACTTTATTGTGTTTTTTTTTTAAACAAAAACCTTCTTTCGGTTATTCTATTGCAATGTTATTCTGAGCAAGTCCTATAACAAGTATCATGTATAATGTTTGTATGGAAGATTAAATTTTACTCTTGTGTGGTAAGACTACTCAGTTACTGACTTCATAGTTAGAATTTGATATTCCAGCACAGAATCCACAATGTATTCAGAAATCCAGGTTAGTGTCATACATTTCATTTTGATGTGAACTTTTCTTTGCTTTCTTTTGTTCTAAGACTCCATTTTGCAATAAACGTTTTGACAGTAAATCCCTTTGTTATGTGTTGCTGTGTATATAAGATCTTTGTTAGACTGAACCCACAACATTCTTTGAAGGAATCCTTGTCACACACAAACATGTGAGTGTTACCTTTTCTTTCCTGAAGTCAGTTGGAATGTAAATAATGAATTTGTAAAGTGATGGGGCAGTCATGAGGGATTTTTTTTAATCCCCAAAGAAAGACAGAACTCATCGTACAGCAGATACGTTAACAAGGCACAGAAACATAAAAAGAAATGGTAAGCCACTATGTGGCTGGAGATCATTAACTCCTATCCCTGTCTTGCCAAATCCAAACCATCTTGCAGCAGTGCCTGGCTCCAGCCTTCTTCTCACTGATCTTTATAAGCACCGTGCTGAGAATCCTATAGGAGCGAGTATCAGATTGGTTCAGTGTCTTTCCCTTGGTGTCATGTCGATAACCCATCCTCAGAGTATAAGAACTCTTCTTTTGACATAAAAGCCAAAGATGTTGATTTCATTTGCAGCCTTTATTCTATTCAAGAAATACTTGTTTCTCAATTTTGTTTGGCACAACATTTGGAAATCATATAAAAATCAAAACACCATACACACACCCCATTTCCTGTAAAAGCCAGCCTTGGTGCAGGGAAATATTTCTGTAATGCAGTCTGGTTTTCTTGAACTAATCAAAAAGTTCCTCATTTCATTTTTTTCTAGAGCTGTATCCAACTGGCCTACAAGGAAATAAAACTTGTCATGTATTTTCTTTGAGTTCAGCTTTAGATTTGATTCCTCAAGTCTTTCTCCTTGCCACATTGTTAAAGCCTGTGCATGTGTTGGATGATTCCCACATACCTCAGGTGTTTCAGAGGAGGAAGGGAATCGAGGCACATGGGGTAGCAAAGGATTTTTGACTATACTACTCAAACTCTACACATCCATATTAGCTGGCAAAATTTTTTAAAAACTAGGAACTCCTCCTTTTGAGTCTGCCACATTTCCCCTTCTTCCTCCAACATGAGCTCTCTGCATCCTGTGCTCCAGTTAGGTGAATATGCCACATCCATCCTCCTCCTCTCCTTCCTTCTCCCACCATTGCCAGTGTTTTGCCATGTCACTTCTATTCACCTGGAATCACCTCTCTCTCCTCTCAGCCCTGCAGTGCCCAGGTGAAGCCACTATGCCTTCCATTTCTCCATGCCTTGTTAGGGAACCCTTCGTGAGTACATGAGGTTTTGTATACCCATGCCCATTGGATTCTTTGCCAGAGAAGTTAGCATTTTAGTACATGCATCCTTCAATTTTTTCATTCTACAAAATTTTTCAACAAAAACGTACCAGGTAGTATATGCTGGGCCCTGAGTAAATCATGATGAAGGTTGTCTTGGACTCCCCCGTGTATAATCCACACCTATTTCTCGATTCTATTAAAAGCTCCTTGAAGGGGCTGTACCTTTCCTAGCAGAGTTTTGAGTATGTGAGTTCAAAATAAATACTTATAGCTTAGGAAGATTAAACCACTCTCTCATCATTACGCTCATAGGAAAAGCAACCAAATTCACCCTTTTTTCAAGTCACCCACCAAAAACCATTATTGGTAACCATTATTGGGTGACACTTTAACATGTTATCTCATAAGTGATCCAAACATTTTGGCAATTTAAAAAGCTAGTCAAAGCTAATGACTCTACCAAACTCTGATTTCAACCATAGAACACAGTCTTTTTCAAGTATGTAAGGATGTATCATTTAGCCTGTGGCCATGGGGCATCGACTGAAGTGAGAAACTCTTTGGCTGTGAAGATGGTTTGGGCTGAAGTGCTCTGCAAGGCTCCATTCCTGCTAGTGCACCTGGCAGGGGGGTGTGTTAGGCTGTGTGAAGGCGACTGCACCTGGGTTTCTTAGGACAATTCCAGTTCCAAGCATCCTTCCTCCATCTGTCTCCATACTTGGTTTTAAGAATATAGTGCAACTGAGATATTTAAACTCTTAGAAATCCCCCTGTGAAAAGGCATAATAAATCATAATAAAACATCGGATTATCAAGTAGTTGGTTTGACATTTTCATTTATAAACAATCCTCATATTGGCTGAGAATTCTGAGGAAAGCTCTGGTGTCTGACTAATGTCAGAAATTTCCTGATTGCCGCAGCCCTATTATGTTATATAAGACCCTTCCTGGTATGCCAAGAACCAAGAAGTATACCAAGTTGTGCAAAGACCTGCCTGGAAAGCTCACAAAGTACAATAGCTGTGCATTATTGGCTTCTGGAGTTAAAATCCTTGGAGCACTGAGAACTTTAGAGTCAGGGAAATTCTTTCCCATTCATCCAGCCTGCAGGAGGAACCGAGCCAGATCAACACTTGATCAAAAAGACAAAGATAATACTACTTTTTTTTTCATTTCATTCATATTTCCCACGCAGCTGCTGCCTTCCTTTGAGATTAGTACATGGACTGAAGACGACGTGGTAAGCTGCTTCTGTTGATCCCTCAATGGGCCTGGGCAGGTATTTCAGACATTTGTCCATAAGTTTAAAATGCAGCTAGAGGGTTTTGGGTCATAGGGAAGTCTTAACTAGCAGAAGTTGACAAATTCCATCTTTCTGGTTTCAGTAATGATTGCAATCTCAATAGCAATGCAAGTATCTCCTCCAATCTTGTAAGAAGATCCCACCTTCCTATTAACTCTAAAAATACTCTAGAATACAATAATAAATATCAATAACAAAACAAACGCAGTGACCTAGAAAACCAAATGGACAAACGTGAAAAATAAATTGATTTTAAACTTTTCCTGAAAACCCAAGCATGGACTGAGCCATGGTGAAGAGGATCTGCTAACGGCAGTGCTGGGTTAGGGTTGCCCTGCATGGCGTGTCCTTCCCACCTTAGGCCTGCTTACAACGTGACAGTGTCACATTGGCCGTCATCCTTGGGTCTCTCCCAAGAGGAGTGGACACACTGCCCCCAGACATCCCCTTCGGCCATAGCCAGAGGAGCTCCATGTGGCTAGCAGGGTGTGGGCAGATATTTGAGTCCAAAAAGGCTTACACTCCACACTCTGGGTAGAAGCCCTGAAGAACAGTGTTCCTCCTTTGCCTGTTACATCTCCATATCTGTTTCCTAAGTGATAAAAACAGGCATGAGAATTCCCAATCAGAGACCACACCGACTTATGCCTGTCCAGGCCCAATTTACAAGCTCAAGGATATCATTAAATGAAGAAAATCAAGACGGAACCCTAGTTTAGCAGGGATAGGCCCCACTCCAGGGAACAGACTCACTACTAGAAATTCTTCAGAAGGTCTGTTTGTTTAACAACTGGGTCTGTGAGCCAGGGCATTTCCCTCTCTGCCCTTTGTACTCTTGTGATGGAAAACCTCTTTGGCTTCTACAGGGTGAGAAACCTGGCACCAATTGCCTGTTTCTTCCCATTCACTGATCCCCAGTAATTCCAACTTTCCTGCCAGCTCTGCCTACCATGGAAAGAGGGCTTAAGGTCTCCTTTATTCCCAAGCCTACACATAATGCCTTTATTCTCTGCCAAAAAGTTGGCCCACCTCCTTTGAAAAGAAATTGTTTTAAAATCACTGAGTTCTAACAGTTACTTTCAGTTCTTGCTCTGAGGTGGAGTGACTTCGAAGGTTAAGGGCTCCCCAGAAAGTCAGAGGGGCTGAGTTAGGCCTCCTGTCTATATGCCTTCACCGAACATGGAGGCCACTGTGAGCAGGAACCAAGTGAAACCCAAAGACTAAGGGTCACAGGGCCCAACTACACAGGAAGCTCCACGCTTGGACTTGTCCAGGGCCACGTGGCTCTGTCATGACCAGACAGGCCTAGAACAGAGAACTCATTCTCCCGGTCCACTGCTTTGTTTGTAGTCCCATTACTCATACAGCTCCTGAAACCACTGCCTCTGGGCAATCCAGTGACCACTGGCATGTGAGCGTAAAAATCACTGTAAGAACCCTCTTGAAAAGATTTTTAAAATATCCCCCACGGAAATCCTTCAACTGTCCACAGCCTCCAAAGGAAGAAATATCTCCAGTTTGAAAGCTTGAGTTTTAAAACTATAAACAGAAACTTTCATCTTTCCTTTGTGGCTGAGCCAGGAATTTGAGACATGTAACATACTGAAAACTGTGTTTTATGATTAAGAATGGCCACTCTGTGTCAATCCTCCAAACCATGTATGTCGTCTCTTCACAGTATTTTTGGGTTCAGCAGCTCATCAGAAAAGGCAAGTGACATAAATTACGTTCTTTTCATGGAGTTAACTTTGTCAGAGTGTGGCAGAGTCTCATTTCCTTCTGCCTTCTCCTTACCCCCCTCCCCCAGGTGACTCCTCAGTGGAGATGAGTGGCTATGCAAGCCTGTTTAAGGAGAACAACATCACGGGCAAGCGGCTGCTGCTTTTGGATGAAGAAGACTTGAAAGACATGGGCATTGTCTCCAAAGGACATATCATTCATTTTAAGGTAGGATATCCCATCAGTGTACCTTTGCTGAGTACCCACAGTGTACTCCGCTCCCCAACCTGACCCACCCTTAGTAAGGTAGATGTACAAAGGAAAAGTAATAATAATAATAATAAAAACCAGCTTCCTATCCAAAGCCACACCTTCACAAAGGCTCTGCCAACATGCTACCTAATTTCCCTTACCTCAGTTAGAGCCACTTACACTGGCTTTCATAGAGAAATCCCATTAAATCCAAAGAACCTATTCACCTCATTCCACAGACCCCAGATACATATGAAAAACGTATTTTCAGTCCCTCAGTGTCCTGTGAACAATGGCTTGGCACTAAACCACCAGAGACCATCTCCAGGACAAAAAGCAGGACCTTGCTGTCTTTTCCTTCCTACAAAATGAGCAAGAAAATTCATGCATAAACAAAACCCCAATGGCTGGCAAAGAGTTTAATCTCAACCTCTGTGTGGGAGCAGATCCATCCTGTAGAGCTGTACTGGCTTATGTGGGCTATTGTGGGAAAAATTTATTTTCTTCAGTATAGAGAAGTCTGAGTTCCAAGTCTTTCTGAGTTCTAAGTCTTATTCTGTTTGACACAGATGCCAAATAAGATGCTCTCAACTTCTCTTCCTTCTACTGTCTTTGAAAAAGGACCAACATTCCTTAAGGAGCAGTTAGGGGAGGAGGGAGGCCAGCTGTGATACCTCAGCAAACCATAAGTGATTGGAATGCTTCTTGACTTGTTTGGGGACAACCACTGTACTTCTCCATGTTGGTGTCATTAAGACAAGCAATGTCCAGACTCACGGTTTATTTCTCAGGAAATTCATGAATACATACTAATTGCCAGACTGGGCCTGTGAAGAGTCAAAGGACCATCCTTCCCTTAAGGAACTTATATCCCAGAGAAGACTCAACACATGTGCATACAACTTCCCACGGGCCATTGGAAGAAAGGGGCAATTCATTCCTTGACTTGGGAGATGAAAAGGGAAAACCTCATGGAATGGAAGCTGGATCTTGAAGGAAGGACAGGGTTTGGAAAGGAAAGAGAATGAACAGTTAAGAGAGAAATGTAGGAAAGTAGAGAGGAACAGAACATACTGTTCCATTAGGAGGCTCTGAAGGAAGCCTGGGCAAGAAGTGGATCTCACCACAGCTAGAGCGGCAGGAAAACAGGGCCATGTCCCCCACTGTTTCCAGCTGCAGGCTGAAGGTCTGGAATTTGATCAGAGCTGAAGAGTATTAAGAATGGACCTGTTTCCACTTTGCTTCTGGAAATTTTAAAGTGAATTAGAGAGACGAGGCTGGAGTTTGAAAAAATAGGAAGTTATAAGAGTGACAAGGCCAGGCTCATATTGCAAGAATGCAACAGCGGGCAAGGAGGGTGCAGGTTAGAGAGGAGGTCGAGAGAAAGTTTGCAGGTTGCAAGCCAGGCACAGTGACACGGACATGCGCTGCCCGGGGGTGAGCCTTGTATGTGAAGCTCAGTGAAGGAAGCCAGATGCGGAAAGCACATTTGCTTTCCATTTATATGAAATGTCCAGAGTAGGTGAATCCATGGAGACAGAAGAGAACAGAGAATAGCTGCTTAATGCATACAGAGTCCCTTTTGGGGGTGACAGAAATATTTGGGGATGTGTTTTAGTGGGAATAGTTGCATGACACCATTGAAAGTCCTAAATGCCACTGGGATGCAGTGTTAAAGTGGTTACTTCTATGTTATGTGAATTTCACCCCATTTAAAAATAATAGTAATAAAAAGGATGACATCTCTGATCAAGACCAGTCCCACCCTGTGGGACTGTCTGGCTCTGATGAACAGTGTACCTTCAGAAAGATCAAAGGAGCCCGGGCAGCAGAGAGAGAAGAGGAAGAGAGGAGTACGTGACCAGGAGGTGGGAGATGAGAGAATGGCAGGATGGAAGTCGGGGGAGAAAAAGCTGTAAGATAGAAACTGACCCAAAAGTTCCCATTCGGCAAAGAAGCCAGGAAACACCCACTGAGAAAGGCCACGTGGGAAGCAGCATTTGGGCTGCCCCTGTGGGTTTGGGTGGTGTTGGGTCCTGTGAACCACAAGGTCTGCTCTGAGCTCCAGAGGAAGGGGGTGGCCAGAAGCTCCAGGGGCAAAGACTGCCACAAGCTCCTGCTGAGTCTGCCTTTGCGCATGCGCACAGAGGGGTCCCTGTCGGGAATGTGGCCTGCCGCCTCACTGCCGCAGCCAGGCTGCTGGTTAAACTCGGGAACATGGCTATTTCTGACGAGCTCCTGAGGGAGGGAAAGATGCAGGGAAAAGATCATAGAGACTTGCTCCAGAAAGCCCTGCATATATTCTTGGACAATTAGGATGAATAAAGCTTCCAGCTAGGCCTTGAGGATGGGACCCCACATACACCTCCAGTCAAGAGAAGCCCTCCTGGGCCAGGGATTTAGCTCAGTGGTCCCGCCACCTGCCTCGAAAGCGCAAGGTCCTGAGTTCGATCCCCGGTGCCAAAAGAAAGAGAAGCCCTCCTGATACTTGTCAGAAGTATGTCCTGCCTGGGCACGTCCTTAACCCTCTACTACATTGTTGTGCACCTTCTCAAAGAGTCTCAACCTAACAGTAGGTGATAAAACTGGAAAACAGAGCAGCAAATCCACCATCCTTTCCTATGTGGTTGTCTCTCCCACTAAGCCTGACTGTAGCTCCCTTTTCCCCTGAGCCTACAAGCACTTATGTGGAGGAGTCAAGTGGAAGGAGGAAGACCGAACATCCAATAAGTGATCATTACATTGTCAAGTGTCAATAGTTTCATTTGGCATTTAGGAAAATGCATCTAATTTTTCCCAAATTGGCACTTTTTGTTCTCTACATGATAGTTCACAGGAAAGCTGAATAATATCTGATGAGTATCAAAAAACTCATAATTTAAATTGTCCTCCACTCCTGTAAGATGGCGTGTGTTTCATTGGGAGTGTTGGACGTCACCTAACACCTACAACATACTAACTCCTTCAGTGAGACTCAGCCTTTCTGAAAGTCTCTGGTACCCTTTCCCTACAGTTGGTGGGTTTTTCCTGGTTAGAGTGACAACTGCATTCTGTACACTAGATTCTAGAACACTAGTAACTAGAACATTAACTTGTCACTCCTGTACTCTGCTGGTGTTTGAAGAATGTGTTGTTTAGTCTGATGTTAAATATCTTCCTGTTCCTTTAAACAGTTACAAACTACCTACATGATTTTAGACAATCAGGTATATGCTCAATGGATAATGGATATTAACATCCCCAGTATATTTTATGAACTGTGTAAATAAAGAATGCTTTTATATATGCCCAGTAATTTTAATCTTCTCTTGCTAGTACTGAATCGTTAATAATATGATTTTTTTTTACAGTCAGCCATTGAGAAACTAACCCATGATTACCTAAACTTGTTTCACTTCCCGCCTCTTATTAAGGTAAAGTTTTTTCCTTTCTGAAAGTATGCTACTTTTATTGACATGCACACCTGCCACATCCACACCTAGATTTGCCAGTGTCGGAAACTTGTTTGAAGTGGAATTTAATCATATCTAGCCAATAAAAGTCCCTTTGAAGAGCAGGATGTGTCCAAATTGAACAGTCTTGTTCCCCACATGTTGAAATATTAACACATTCATGATAAGAACAACACATCTCACTTCAGTGGCTAGGAGATGTAAATGCCTGCAGTGTAGGTGAGGCCCTCTGGCCTTCCACCTGGCTCCAGACACCTTCCTCTGACATGTAAGTCCCTGAAGGAATCTGCACATGAGAGCTCTGGGCTGTCACCTGCACTGGGGAGTGGGAGGTCTGTTGTTTGAATGACATATTAGTATTCAGTAGTCCCCCCTTATCTGTGGAGGATACATTCCAGCACCCCCATGGGTGCTGAAGCTGAGGTTAGTGCCAAACTCTAGATGTAGTCTTTTCCCTATACATACATACCTATAACAAAGTTTAATTTGTAAACTAGGCACAATTAAGAGATTAATAACAACCAACAGTAAAATAGAACAATTATAATAAGAGTTTTAAAACTCATGAATTATTTCTGGAATTTTCCATTTAATATTTACAAACCCCAACTGACTGCCAAGTAACTGAAATCATGAAAAGCAAAAGGGACTAATGTATTTAACATATTATTCTGAATATAATCTCAAAGTATATGGCATAAAATCAGCATATACTTGCAATTAATACACAGACCTCTAGGGCATAGGGGGTGTGGCTTGGTGGTAGAAGGCTTGCCTAGCATCTGTGAGGCCTAGTTTGATACCTAGCATTAACCAAACCAAACCAAACAAAATCCTCTACTCATGAAGTATGAGCATGGTTTTTCATTTGCAAGGCTTTTCCTCTATCCATGTGTGCTCTAAGAGCTGCAGAATTCCTCTTTGGGAATAGCTCATTGCTCTCTTGGGTGTTCTGAAACTCTCAAGTTGAAATATTGAAGTGCATCTCCAGGTGTGAAGTGCTTTTCTAGGATAAAACTGCATGATGTAAGATGCATCATGAAAAACATAGAACAGTGACAGCCTGAAGTATATGAGACAAATCACTCAGCAAAATTCTCAAAGGCCTAATTCATCATTTTTCTTGCTTTAAGTAATTGTAACTTGTAGCTTCATCCAAAATAACCAATAGCCAAACAATAGATTTTAAAAGAAATCATCTGATTTACATGAGAAGTCAAAGTAAAAGCACCATCTAGAATAGTGCTTGGTTTTCTGTTTTAGGACTCCGGAGGTGAACCTGAAGAAAATGAGGAAAAAATTGTGAACCTTGAACTTGTTTTTGGTTATCACTTGAAACCAGGAACTGGCCCACAGGTAAACACATTTCAGATACTTTGGGTAGTTTTTAGTGTAATTTTCTCTTTAGTTCTCCTGTGACTCCATGGTTTTGTACACCACCCTCAATCACCTAGTTAAGTGATTCTGAGTAAACTAATAGACTTTGTTAAGCAGAATTTAGTTGACAGACTGCCAGCTGGCCTGTAACCCAATGTGGGAATCTTATTTTCTTGGTTAGTGGAGAGGCCACTCAGGCCCTCGAGGAAACTCATGGGGAAGGAGGCCGTGGACACCAGCTTCCTGTTTCCTGTTTCTGAAGGGCTTCAGTCTTAGGATACTAAGAATAAAACAGCACTGCGAATGGAACTCCAGTCCATATGGAGGCTCAATTTACCAGCTCCAAGTAGGGTGGCAGGGCATTTGACCACCAGTCATTCACTCAAGCTTTCACTTTTTGTCATTTTTAGAGTCTAGAAAAAGCTATTTGAATAGATGGCATGTGAATGGGAATTTTAACAGGTTTGTGTTAGTTTAGATTACTATAAATAGTTAATAATAACGATAACTTCTAATTGACTGCTTGTTCTGTACCAGGCATATAGTAGCGAAGTGTAAATGCTAATTTCCAAATGTGAAAACCAAGGCTCTGAGAGGTTAAATGACTCTCTGGCCCCAGATCCATGGCCCTTAACTACTGTATTACTCGTGCTTTTCCCCTGAGGAGCATCTACCCCTGTAGATGGTTACTGTGCTGGGCCTGAGGCCAACTCAGCTGGCCCACTGGCCACTGGTGGAGAGAAGCATACTTGATCCATTCCTGGGAACCAGTGCTTGGGAAAGGCCGGAATTTGCTGTGGGTTAGAGTTTCACCTGGGGTTTAAAAGATACCCTTTCTAGACACCTGACAGGGAGGGCCTGACCTGCACTGCCGCAGGTGTGTTGATGCTTCTATTGAACCACAGTGCTTGGTTGAAAGAAAGCAGCTCTGAATCCAGACTTCCTGTGTATGCACCCTTCCATCTTCCCTCTATGGATGGCTCTCTGTCCATTCATTCAGTTGTTAGATGCAGAAAGGGGGCTGCAGAGTAAGTTCCTTTCGCTTCAGCATCATCGAAGAGCCTTCTAAAGCTGAGATTCTTTAGCTGTGGGCACCCCAAATCCAACCAACGATAGGCAGATTGCACATTCCTGTTTGCCTTCTTTGGTATCCTCAATTTCTTAGGTTATGAGTTCTCTTTATTTAAACTTGTTTATGGCCCATAAATGGTAAAGAGAGAAAAATTTCTTTGAGGCTTGTCAAGAGAGGTTTCAAACGGGAAAATATTTTCAGTTATTGAAGAAATGACTTGTTAATGTGGAAAGCTGAAAAGTATAATTTCTTTAGTAAAAAAAGCAAAAGCTATCAATGATATTTGAGACAAAATACAGGGGTGTGTTTTTTTACTATAATCATGTAAACTTTATGAATCCTCCACAAGCTCAAAGCTGCCACAACTTTTGATATTCTGCTGTCTCATCCTGAGTGATAATTTCATCCATTCATTCAGCATAGCTTTACTGAGGACCTGCTGTGTGCCTGGCTCTATGCTACCTGCTCAGGATTCAAAGTCAAAAAGTACAGACCTGTCTTGCAAGAAACCCAGAGCTTATTGGGAGAAATAAACAGTGAACTGTTACAGTGCAAAGTGATGCGTTTTTACCATGCCGTACACATTGTTCTAGGGCACATACTAGATGCACATCTGTAGCTGGGAAGGAGGTGAGGGAGGGTCTTGGAGTCTCTTAGAAGGGATGCTTAAACTCAAATATAAAATTCATTAATCTGGGCTGGGTAGGAAGAGGACTTTGAAGGCAAAAGAAACAGTATGTATGAGAACTGAGACCTAGGGAGCCAGGCAAAGCCAGGAGCACCTCTTAGGCTGATTTCCTGGGACCACACAACTGGAGCATCCTCCTTCTGGGAAAACTTACTGACCGCAGGATAGTAGCATGTTGATCGTTAAGACTGGAGAGAGAGAGAGGGAGGCTGGTGACCAGAAAAGGGATTATGTGTTAAGCTAAGGAGTTTGAAAGCTTTTGAGCCGAGAGTAGATAGGATTAGACTTTTTTTTTTAAGATCTATTAGAAGCACAGAGGAGGGAGGAACTGAGGGTACAGCAGTGCTGCAGAGTTTACTTTTGGTAGCTCTGTGGGGCCCAGGACGCATGAAGGTGACACTGATGAGACCTAATCAGGGGCCAGAATGGTGCTGCAGATTTTTAGTATGGGCAAAGTCTTTTATCCTCCCCAATCCATGACTAGGACAGGCCTTACAGGAGAAAGCTGGAGCTTTGGGAAGTTCTCCACAAATCTCAGTCTGCAGATCAGAGATCCTTGCTTGATTTTACCTTTCCTTTCACTAGTAAAATGAGAGGTGTGTTCTAATGGGAACCGCTGGGAATAAAGTATGACAGAGACTTTATCACGAAGACAGTACCTACATTTTCTCTTTGCCTTTGATAGAGACCACCAGTTAATGCCCCTTAAAATTGGTATGCTTAGCCAGGCATGGTGACACACACCTGTGATCCTAGGACTCGGTATCTGAGGCAGGAGGATCACAAGTTTGAGCCTAGCCTCAGCAACTTAGCAAGACTCTGTCTCAAAAGAAAAAATTAAAAAAGGGCTGGGGGTGTAGCTCAATGTGAGTGCAGAGGCCTTGATTCAATCCCCAATACCACCCCAAAGTGGGGGCGGGGGGGTAAATGCCATTTCAGTAACCTTAAACCTACCCAAAATAAACAATAAAAATATGACTTCATACACAAATAGACAAATATATACAGAGGAAAAAGCCCTTCATGTAAGATCTGTCCAACCTTTTGTTCTAAGAATTCTGATTAAATTATTTTTCTTAACTTCATTTTACAACTAGATGGTTTGTGGCACAAAATGAGGCTGATCTGCAGAACCTTGGAAGATCTGCATTTGAGAGCTCATGCCTTCTGTAAGAAGGGCCACTACAGTGACACCTTGTCCAAGAGCTCAGTCTGTACAGCTGTACCCCTGCAGAAAGCCAGGACCTGACCATACTCCAGCTCATACATGCTACAAGCATTCTCTCATGAATGGAATGTCTTTTTCATTTCTCTTTTTAAAACAACCTGGAAGGGCAAAAAAAAAAATCTTGACTGAACCACAAGCTTCAGTGGCAATTCAATTAATAAATGATGGGCTAGGGGTGTAGCTAGGTGGCAGAGCCCTTGCCTAGCATATGTGAGGCCCTGGGTTCCAGTTGCAAAACCACCAAGAAATAATTAGTTAATTAATTAATGAGAATGAATTTTACCCACTTATTTGATTGCTCTATTTCTAAGAAGTTCATTATTCATTTAAATAATACTGTATGCCGAGGCAGCCTAGAAGTTATGACAAAGTGGCAGAAATTGGGTCTTTCTCCATGTCTCCAATGTGAGGGCCAGAAAATGCCTACAATAATTATTATTACCTCATACTTCTGGCCAAAGACACTGCAAGCACTTTGCAAACTTTTTTTCATGTCGTTGTTACAGCTCAACATAATGGGGAACATTACACCTCAATTAACTTCCTCATGAGGATATCAGGCATCGAGGTAATGTTCTTGCCCCAGAGTTCCCCCCAGTCAGGGGCAGATCCAGTCCACAGGCTTAACCACCTCTCTCTGCAAAGTACCGTCATCCCCCAAAGTAGGTACATTGGTAATCAATTTATTTTGGGAAGTTAGTACTACATTACCACAATGTTTGTTTTCTGTGGAAACTCTCTTGTGTTTTATATTCTAAAGGCTTTACTTGACACAAAAGGGAAGCAGCTTCCAAAATCTCAAGCAGCTTCACACACTCCCCAGGTGGCAACCACCCTTTTTATTGAGATATTCAGCTGCATAGAGTTTATTATTATATCTCTTATCAGCTCACCAGTCAGGAATATTGATTCTCAAATTGCCAGAGGATAAACTATCAATTCACCTAGGAGTTTTCTCACCAAGATCTTTTTGAGACTTTGTGTCATAAAAATTTAAAAGCAGAGCCAAGAAGGAACTACTGTATTTGGGAGTCATCCATTGTTCATTAGTGATGAACCGTCACTTTGTCTCCTGAATCCTTATTCCCCTCCCTTCTGATGCAACATAGGAAGCCTGGCTGAAGCCAGGTGCCTGTGGATCTGAACTAATCACCAGCCCTAGGTAGGAGAACTGGGTTAGAGGAGGAATAAGGGAAACAACACCCTGTGTCTCCCAACACCCCTGGTCGCTGGACCTTTTAATAGGGTTCCACTTCGAGTCTTGGGCTACCCCTTCCAAATGGCTCTCACTTCTAATTTCCCTTGGAGAGGTGTTTTAATGGCTCAGGAGAACCAAGAAAAGAAAATGAGAGGAACATTTTAAAGAAATGGAAACAGACTGACAAACCCTCTCAGAGCAGAAGTGGTCTCTGGGGACTTTCCCTCCTGCCCTTCTCCCTGTCCAGCCTGGTCATTGTTAGCACCTGGCCACATCTCCCACCTACCGAAGGCAGGAAGAAATTCTGTCAGTAGTTCTACTTCTCTGGTCTTCTCACATCATAGGTTAAAAATGCTGCTTTTTACAAATGCTCCGCATTTGTATTGTGCTTTCAGATCTCTATTAGATTGCTTGTGAAATGTTGCATTTAATAAACGTAATTGAATCTCCAGGCCCTTTCTTAGAGCACTATAAATATCAAGAACTGTCAAGTAGCGCTTTTTTTCCTATTGTGTAATTTTTGTAAATGGATAGATAAACATGAGTAAAATAACAGGGCACAAAGAAAAAGATTTTTGTAAGAAGTATAAAGCCCACACCTTTTGTAAATTTCAAAACAGCTAAAAGCAGAGCTTTTCTTTGATGTGAGTTACATTCATTTAAAAATCAGTGTAAGGAAGTTCATTTCTCATGATCAGCTATAGGGGGTATGTGTACACAAACATGTGTTTGTGTGCCTAAGTCTATAAGCTTGCAATGGTAGGGTTATATAAAAAAAAGAAGTTTTAGGGAG